GAATCCTGCCACCTCTCTGTCACGACCGCTGTGTTCTGGGCCACAAGCCACACAAACCCAGAAGCGTCTGCCAAAGCTTTCAGACAGCTGTGCAAGCTCTCGCTGCCATTTGTTCAGCTGTTTTGAAGTGAGAGAGACACATATTCCCAGGGTTCCACGAAGAAGACTTCTTTCCAATTCAGTAAATGTGATTAGAATGCAAATTCTTTTTATTAGTTTTCATCTTGTTACTCTGAATACATATTTATCTGAATGAATGCATCCACGGCTCATTTTTTGTCACTAATGGAAGTGAATGGATTATATTATCCTACATTTAAAAACAGGTAATACGGAAGAAATGGAAATAAATCACTTTTTCTACCTAAGAGCAGGGTTGCTGCTTAGAGAAATAGGAGCCTATTCACTTCGCAAACCAAAATGTCCTGAATATAATTTCTCAAAATGCTATCACTTTCCTTCCTTACTTACATGAGAACATCATAATATCGAGGAAAATTACTTAATAGTGAGATCTCTGATAGTAGCAAAGTCACCTCACCTAGTATAAGTGAACACAGTTATGTTCTGGAAATCAACTCATTGGATTTGTTAAAAATATGAACTGTTCCCTTCCACCACAAGAGGGAGAAAAGAAAAATATAAAGGCTTTTACTAGGTGATCTTTGTTACCTTCCACATTTTTTTAACAAAGTCTCAGTGGGTGGAAGCCCATTATATTAGTTACCCTGGGTAACAAGGTATTAATTTGGGGCTTTAAAGTTATTAGTCACCTTCCACATACATTTCTCTGGCAAATGAATGACTTAATCCCTGTATTACCGATAGCGCCAAACAATCCAGGGTTTCACGATTTTAGAAAATCACTGCCTGGAGTCCAGACACAACTGCCACTTTCGAAAAGGATCTTTGGTACTTTATATAGAAGCCTGCAGGCTTAATCTTGATAGTCATTCCTCTTCACACCAGATATAAAGGGTTACCAAGGAAAAGCATTTTCCCCAGTGATTCAACCATATTGAGCCTGTAAAACTTCCCCTTTGAAGAATCACACAATTCCTGAGAGAGTTCGCCTGTTTAGTATGTGATATACAGCTAATTTTTTAAACAATTCAGTGGAGAGAAGAAAATATTTAAGATGGTAACATTTGATGTCAAAAGAAGTCTTTAGATTTCTCTTATTTTGGTTGCGTCTAATTCTTCAGGGCAAAATGTAAATCATTAAATTCTAAAGCAGCAATTTTATATAAATGATGATTTTGTAACTCTTGATTATCAAAGCATTACACATGTAAAACAACTACAGTAAGGGAAAGAGTGGCTGCCCTCAGTCCAGATGCTTATCTGCATTTAAAGGTCTCTGTGCTCTAATACAAGCAAACAGTAGATTAGTATCAATAATCCCTTGGGAAATTTATAGTGATTTATTTCTCTGGCTTATTAAGAGCCAATCATTGCTCAAAGGTCTCTGACAATGCATAAAATTAGAAAACTGTAGTGTTGACATAAAATTAAGAAATAATAGCAAAATCCACATACAAGAAGCAATCCAACAAGATACTACCCACTAAATTTATTTACCTTACATAAATATTTCAAATGAAAATTTTGATTAAGTATGCTATGTCCACAAATTATGCTTCATGAAACTCATTATTTGGTTTTATTGCAATATAACGTAACACATTTATGTTACCATTTAATTCCTTTTAAATTCTTTTTTTTTAGGGGGGGAGGTACCAGGCATCGAACTCATGACCTTGCATCTGCTAGGCAGGTGCTGTGCTGCTCAGCTACATCCCCCATCAATTCCTTTTAAATTCATCTTGAAATAATGTAAATATAGAGATATTTCTTTCTATATGATTCCTTTTCAAATTTTCTTATTTGAAATACAAGGAAACGTAATTATTTTGGCATCAATCAAATCAGAAATTTGATGTTATGTAACTATTTTTCAATAACAGAATAACAAAAGATAGGTGAGTGGAATATAAAATTTAGGAAATTATTCTCAGAATGTAAGTCAGTGGTATTATTATACTAAGCTTTAGATAAATTAAAAAGGTAAATATTTGGAGATATACTTGAGCATGGAATCTATATGAAGAAACCTATACTTCATTGAATTTCCATTTCATTTTTTTTCCACTGATAAAATTTATAGAAAAGTTTATCATATTGTTAAGCAAACACTTGTAGTAAAGATATTTAAAATAATTAAATGAAAATATAGGCTCACCATTGTGTAATGGTCAGCATTCTGGACTCTGAAAATACAGGCTTGGGTAGGAAGAAGGAAAAGAAAATATATTTATGAAAACCATACTCTTTCTGGGCATGGTGGTGCACACCTGTAATCCCAGCACTCATGAGGCTGAGGCAGGAAGATCACTGTGATTTTGAGAACAGCCTGGGCTACACAGTGAGTTCAAGACGAAGATGAACTACATAGTGAGACGCCTGTTTCTAAAAACAAGTAAACAGCAAACTATACTCATATTAAGGTCTATGAAGAATGAATAATTTATTTATAGGTGGGAAAACTCAATTTTAAATTACTTTTTCCTAATATAATCTACCAGCCACATGTAATCCAATGAAGAAAGTAAGTACTTTTGAAGGAAAAGAGGAAGTGTTTTATGCGTTCAGATGAAGGAACAGATGTGTAAGAATAGTTATACATTTAGGAAAATTAAATTTAACTGAATTAAGGACTTTCTTTTCTAACAATTATTCTTTTTTAATTTTTTTCTTTTAAAGAGACTAAAAAATAATCCCCAAAACAGAAATGATACACAATTTCCAAAAAACAAGATGATATGAATTCAACAAAGGTTGAGAATTATTCTTACTAGGACAGATGTACTATGGATGTCTCGGGCAGCACTTTATTATAGAAAAGTGCTGTAAACAAGCAATCAGTATCAGGCTGGTTAAGCAGAGAATGTCTCATCCACACAATTATACACTTCCATGTCATTAAGAATGATGACAGGTTCCTTAATATGTTTTTCAATGAAAAATGTTCATTATACATTGTTAAGTGAAAATAGTGAGTTACAAATAGTATACATACAAGATATGATTCGATTTGTTAAAATATATATAGAAAAAACATCTATGGTAGCTAATATCAAAATGCTACAGGTGGTTTTCTCTGGGTAATAGGACAAAAAATGATTTTTCAGCTTATACCTTTTTGACACTGTGAAAATTTTTCATTACAAAATGCATTACTTTATAGTCATAAGGAATCACTTAAACATTTGTGTGGGAATTTACGGATATCAATACAATAAAATTGAATCGAAGCAGGTAAACATGGCTTCCAGGAGAAAAAGAAGTCAACAGCACAACACTTTGAGGAGGATTTCTGTTAGAGACTCTTCTGTTTGTCCATCTGCTGTCTATGTACAGGGGCCGACGGCAAGGTAGGCCTTGGAGGAAGAAGTTATGTGTGCTTTAACTTCGTTTCCTGTCTCTTTTTCTTATCATTTTATTGTTCACATCAAGAGAACACTAGAGTGAGGAAGTCTCAGTTCATGTCACTACACCCTACCATAGTTCTACACTCAGTATGAAAGCCACGCTTCAATATATCTGCATCACTAAAATGACTGATAATTCACCAAGTACATCTCTTCATACAGGCCATCCCAAGAATCTGCCTCAGGGATTTCTTACAGGAGTTTTATTACAGAAAGTAAAAGCATAGCGATGTTAGCTATTTCCAATGTATTTAATCTGACTCCTTTTAACAAAAACTAATTTATCAAGCTCTGATTTCATATTTAAATAATTTGTATAAATGACTACGAGCTACCATAGAAAGCCTATTTGACATAAAATAAAAACAACAAATTATACTCCTAAAGTATTTATTGTATACCAAGCATTCTGAAAGCATTTTGTGTAGTAGGTCAGTGATTCTTCAGAGCAGCCTATGAGGCAGTTGCTATTATTAGCCTGCATTTCACCCATGGGAAAACGAACACTCAGAAAGCTGCAAAGTCTCTTATGTAAAGTCACTTGGCTAAAAAGCGACACATACTATAAACTCATGTAATCTGGCTCCAGAATAATTATTTTTATAGATTAAAAAGAAAACTCTATGCTTTTAATTTTAGAATAGTTTCAGATTTATAGAAGTTGCAGAAAAGAAACAGTGCAGAGTTCATGTACTTCTCCCTCCTGTGAAAATCCTACATTATGTCATACCTGTGTCAGGACTAAAGACCTTGCCTACTTGCACGTTGGTAATTAACTAAACATCATACTTTCCTTGAATTTCACTAGATTTTCTCTAATGTGCTTTTTTGGTTCCAAGATTCTGTGTACAGCCCTCTCTGGGTTGTGACAGTTTCTCAAACTTCCCTTGTTTTTGATGACCTTGATACTTCTGAGGAAGACCAGACAGGTGTATTAGAGAATGCCCTACAATTTGGTTTTGTGTGATGTGTTCGCACAATTAGACTGGGTTTAGTGTGTTGTGAGGAAGACCACCAAGGCAAAGTGCCATTCTCAAAACATCATCTCAAAGGTCCAGGCCACAATCGCGGCTTACCATCACTGATGCTGTTCTGGGGCGGGAGCTGTTCGCCCCTCCTCTCCACTGTAAGGCTTCTTCTCTCCCTCTCTGCACCTGGGCTGGTCAAGCTACATGCTATGGAAGCCAGTTACCAGTTAGGGAGTTAAACCAGCCCACTTCACAGGGCCTGGGTCTCCAGAGAAGTTATGCAGAATTGTTCTGAGCACTCATTTTTAATCCATTACTCTCTCTCTACCTTATTACTTCTTACAATTTTGGTATATTATTCATGTGCAATAGTTGAAAAACACAACTCTCAATTAATTTCCTGCTTCTCAAGGGTTCAAAAATATGCTAACACTAAATGCAACAACAAATGAAACCATTTCAAAATATCTTCCATTGATCACTATAGAATGTGTCACTACTTGACTCACTAGAATCCAGTTTTTCTGGCGTAAGAACTTACCAGAAATATTCGTTCAAGTTGATCCTGAATGTCTTTCATGCCTGGAAAAGCAGCAACACCTTGTATCATCTCTACAAAGATGCAGCCGACTCCCCTGAAAAGAGAAGAGAGAATCATTATAGAAGCTTCAATCTATTCTGCTTAAAAAACTAAATCAGAGATTACACTATCCCCTTGAAAGAAAAGAAGCAATGAATCAATAATACTCTTCAATGAGCGATAAGAGGTACGTGACATACTTACACCACAGCTCTCCTTCCCGGGTCTATTCCCCTGGAAGAATACTAAACAGATGCAGCCACACTGGCTGAAAAAACAGTGGAATCTAACAAAGTAGTAGCTTTGGTGGCTTCTTACAAGATGCATTTGAGAAAGTCCTTGGTCCAACATACAAAAGCCTCCACTTACGTTATAGCACCCTTTTCCAACTATATCTCACGAATGCATAATGTAGCCTATAGCTGTCCTGTGGTGCTCAACTTCATCAGTATCATTCAGGGACTCTTAAAAACCACAAATGCTCAGGCCACAAACCCCAGAGATTCTCCATGATCACTGGCAGGCACTGCTTATTAGCTACTCTGAGGATTGCTGAGTCAAGACTAATTTAGGGCTACATGTTAACCTGCAGAACTTGCCTTAACTTGCTTCACTACCTAATATACCCAACTTCTCTACCTATTTCTCTACATATCTAAATCCAACTCAACCTCTGTAATCCTGCACAAATGTCATCTCCTCCATGAAGGCTTCCATGAACGTTCCCAAAAATAAGAGAGCACCCCTTACAAACTTCTGGTTAAGCCCTTGATGTATCAGCCTCGCCTCCTATCTTTACTTGCCATGCTCCCAGTTCCTATGAAGCAAGACAGTCCGCTGTATCAGAAGACCTGATTCTTAGACCACAGTACCCTGTACCTCACCCTGCAGGAATAACTATCCAGAATATGGGAAGAAATGCCATTAGATACTTCCGGTTGGATTCTGAAGAACAGGTCATTGGGAGCAGGATGATAAGAAAGTAGCACAGGTAGATGGGATAAACCACATTAGTAACTGAAAACTTACATGAACAGCTTCATGTTCCTACAAGCAGTCAGTCCTTGAGCTGCCCTGGTTTCTGCCTTCTGGAGGCTGGCATGTTCAGAAAATCCAGTGGGATTCTTTCCCCTTTTCCTGAGATCTCTCTACTTCCTAGCAATTCTCCAGATTTAAAAAAAAAAATGGTGGATCTTTGAAAGAATTTATGTTTAAGGCAACTACCCTAATAAAACCATGAACATGTTCAACTGCTGCACTTACAGTCAGTGTAGGGCAGGCAAACCCTTGTGTTTTTAAGGTACATGAGAACCTATGAGGTAAACGACAAGTGACCTACTTTTGTACATCTGCTCCACCTGTTATCAAAGATATATAAAAACAATACTTTGAATGAATGCAATACATTTGCAGAATGCCTTTCCTACTATACCGCATAATTTCTATTTCAATGGAAGTGACAAAGTGACTAAAATGAAACAAATTCTACCTTATACCATAAAAATAAGTAATAAAGGATTAGTGTTAAATGGTTCCAGACAGATGGATTTTAATACACATTTTCATTTTAGATTTGACAACACAGGTATGGAGAGAATTATTTTATTGGTGTAATAAAATGCAATGACATGCTTATAAATATTAACATTTCAGATGACTGGGTTAAGTCTATCTAAAATTCTAGTGTGGTGCTTTTCCAAATTTTTTCTGCCAGGAATTCTTTTCTAAGACTACTGATCTACATTTCTATTGTCTTATTTGTTTTCATAAAATATCTTGGATCTTTAATACTTACACCTTCATTCTCTTTATTTTTTTTTTTTACATTCAGAACATACTCTCTATTCTCTACCTTTTGGCCTCCGTCTTCCCTTCCCTAGCTGTGACTCTGAGGGTGAAGACCCTCAGAAGAACCACCACCACCCGACTGCACAGAGCTAGCTATTACATTGTCAGAACTGCACACAGAATTTCTTTTACTCAGTACTTCTTAGTTAATATCATCTCCAAATTATGAGACTTAGAATGATTAAAAGATACATCTATGCTGTCACTTTCTGCAGCTGAAATGAAACAGTATGGTTTTCTATAGGTTTTGATCTGCTTCGCTGGCTAAGGGAGTTGGACTTTCATTTCTAATAGCTGTTTCCTATGCTACCCTCTTGCAGAATTTTTTATAATGTTTTTATTTTTATTAGTACATATTTGCAGTACCTAATGATAACATTCACGTGGCACACACACCTAACACATCTTAATCCTTTTTACATCCTCATGCCCTTCCCTCCCTCCCTCCTCTGGACATCATCTTTCTCAAAGATGCTTGGGGTATACTAATAAAGCAGCGAACGGGCTGGGGATTTAGCTCAGTGGCACAGCGCCTGCCTGGCAAGCGTGAGGTCGTGAGTTTGATTCCCAGTACCGGAAAAAAAAAAAAATTAAAAAAAAATCAAAAAAAAAAAAAAAAAGCAGCAAGAATTATACTCAAAGAACACACAAGAATTAAAATGTACAAGAAAATGAAAAATTAGAATTATGAAACCTATCACGAAATTAATATGCAGAATTCTTTTATTACTGCCTTACGGCCAACCAGCAATGAAAGCCCTTTAAATTCATGTGAAGGGACCAATGGCTGCTTTCCTTTCTCCTGCTGTCTACCTTCAATTAGCCCTATGCTCCCTCTCTCTGGATAGATTAAACCAACTGCACTGAGTGGTTTACCTTATGATACATGATCATGTATCAGGAAATGTCTAATTTGTAGAATTTGAATCATTATGTAATTATCATATGCTTAGTATAAATATTTTAAGGATAAGAAGTGGTCACAGGTAAAGATGTCATAGAATGCATTGTTTTCAAGTTTTCAGGATTCGTCAGCTGCTAAAGTAACACATAAAACAATCACTCAGCAGCAAACATCTTTCATCTTTTGGATTCAAAATACCCAAAATTAACTTATGGCACAGATCCATGAACAAGTTTTTATTACAAGTCAAAATGAAATCTTAGCAGTAAAACCGAGACAGGTGTTCCTTCAGGCCTGGGCATCATATAGTTTGGGGATTTTTGTTATGAAAAAAAAATGCAAGGTAAAATAAAACATTGGACATAAAAGTGAATTTAGAATAAGAAACTTAATCAAAGAAATTTCAAGTTTTTAGAGCTCACAAATATAGTACTCTAAAGATCAGACAAATAAATGAAGATTTGATTAATAACTGTCTGGCAAACCCAATGCTTTCTGCAACTGTAGTTGGATAGTCTTCGTTATGCTTGGAGCCTGAGAGGTCCCTTACAGACTCACAAGCTGAAGACTTGGCCCTTTGGAAGGTGATTGGATTATAGGGCTCTACCCAGCCAAGTAGATCAATCTACTGATGAATCTATAATTTGATGGCTTAAGATGTGTTATGTACATGTATCAACTTACCATGATGAATGAATTCATTATTACTACCTTACTACAAACATGGACTAATAAAAAATAAAAAGCAAAACAGTAATTTGATGGCATCATCAAAGTGCTGGAGCGAAGTGCTGGAAACTGAGGAGGTGGGGTCTGGTTGAAGGGAGCGGGTCCTGGAGGAATGCCCTTGGGTGGTGGGTATCTTGTACCCAGGTGCTTTCCTCTCAGGATCCTCTCTCTCTGCTTCCTGGCTACAATGAGGAAAGTAGTTTCTTCTGCTATCCCATACCATTATGATGTTTCTGCCTCACCAATGGAACCAGGGGACTATGGACTGAAATCTCAAACACCACGAGACAAAATAAATCTTCCCTGTTTTAAGTTGATTTTTTTCAGGTATTTTGTAACAGAGGATAAAACATTAACACAATCTTCAACAAATTCATAAAAATATTACAATACCTTTTCCTTTCTTTTTACTTTTTTGGTGTTGGGGATCAAACCTAGGGGTTTGCCCATGCTAAGCACCTGCTCTTCTACTGAGCTATATCCTCAGTCTGAGAATATTCATTTCAAACAGAGAATATAAAGATAATTTGGACTTTCTTCTGGCATGATAATGACATAGGTTTTCATTGTGTTCCTAATAATTTAGAATTTTTTTTCAGTTCCACTTCTCATTATAGGTAAGGTCATGTGAACTTGTATAACTGTTACCAATCTGGGGAAGTATCAAGCTACTTTTACATAGGTATATATGCTATAAATACATCATTTTAAAACGGTCTGTCCTATAGTTCCACGACAATGCTACAGGAGCATGAGAGGAGACAGGAAACCTCTGGCCTAAGGGAATAACACTAACTAGCTAGCTCAGTGTGGAGGATATGCTAAGGTAAGAGAACTAGAACAGGCAGAAAAGGATTCTGGAGTGATGGACCCAGGGGTAGCCATGGAGCATTCCGGATAGAGAAAACAGAGTCCAGTTAGAAAGAAATCTTGAGAAACAGGTGCTGCTGTTACACTTCTGTGTGGAAAATAGAAGAAAAGTTTAAAAAGAATAAAAACATATTCCATGATAAGAAGTTAGTGTTATTCCCTTAGGCCAGAGGTTTCCATTTATTTCTGTATCCCAATACTCATGGAGGACATACTTGAGAGGTTCACACAATTTATGGTGAACAACAAATGAAAAAACTTTTAGCAAAGACACAATTACAAACACTAGTTATAAAGCCACCTGTTCTTTCTCAGTTACAACAGAACAGAAAAAATAAATGAGAGTAAGAGTTGTGAAAGTTCTTGCTCTCCTGCGAGGAGGCTCAGCACATAATGACCCAGAGGCCCGCAAACTGACCTACAGGCTGAATCCCACCTGCACCTGCTGTCTGTCTGCCTATTTTTATATGGTCTACAAGGCAAGCATGACATACATTTTTTTCTACAAGTTTCTTTCCTTTTATTTGACAGATATATATAATATATATATATATATATATATATATATATACACATGCTTTGATATGTGGCCTGTAAAGTAATGATAAAATCTAGTAATTAACTTGTACAGTACTTCAGGTAGTTATCACTTTTGTGGTGAGAACAGCTCACACTTCCTTAACATGTTTCAAGAATACAATATA